ATTCGATTTAAATGAAAATATACCTAATATTAAATGTAAACTAAAATATAGAATTAAATATAAATTAAAATTCTAAATTATAATTCTAAATTAAATATTGTTGATATTCTTTTAATCGATTATCGGAAGAGTAATTAAATGAAACACTATTTCATTAGATGTGCAAAAATTCATAATTCATAATTAATAATTCATTAGATGCATTATTTCTAAATTAAATACAAAATAAAAATATAAAATTAAACATATTCATTTAAATTGAAATGGAAAATTAAATAAAAATTGAAATTGAAATACAAATTCAAATATAAATTTAAATTAAAAACTAAATTTAAATTCAAAATAGAAAAATTGAAGTTCTATTAACGCGGAAAATCTAAAAATATCTCTCAAAGATCAATTTTAAAAAAGCGGAACCAAAATAGTTTTAAAAAAATTGGGCCAAATGTTGATTTGAAGTTGATACTTTTATTATCTTTTGACAGAGATTAGTTCCCTTTGGGCACATTAGTAATCAAAAAGTAATCAGCCCCATTTTTTTTTAGAAACCGATCAACATTTGTCCCAGTTTTATTCTCTTCAAAGTTAAAAAAGAGAAAAAGAAAGAAATGTCACGATGCAAAGAAGAATCATTTATTCTGCGCTGAATTCAACTAAACACTTAATAAATTACCCTCGTAATTACCCATATTTACCCAATTTATCGTTCATCAGCCCGATTACTTTCGTTCTATTGCGAATTAACTTTTTTCAAATAAATTTCAATTTCCATTTAATTTCATTTTAATTTATTTAATTTTATTTAACTTTAATCAACCCTATAATTTTATTTAATTAATTTAATTTTCTCAATTTAATTTTGTTTGAAATAACTATTGTAACTATTCGTTAAAATAAAATCCAAAATTCCAAAATTTTACTTCTTCTTCAAATTAAATTTTTATTACAATAATTTTTTGTCACTATCAAAATAAATTAATTAGCTATAGCTAAATTAATTATAAATTTTCTAAATGTAAAGTTTAAGTTTTTAATGTTTATAAATTTTTTTTTATTTTTATTATTTTTATTATTTTTATTATTTTTATAATTTTTATAATTTTATAATTTTTTTAATTAAAAATAATCCGTTTATTTGAACGTTTAGATCTCAATTAACAAATTCATTAAAAACTAGAATGCAATAGAAAGTAAGATAATAAAATTTATATTTTTTTTGTAACATAAAAATATAGAAATTATAATTTAGAATGTATTTTTAAATATTTCTTTAATGGGTAACTTAATATTATTGTAATAAAATTTGAAAAGGAAATAACTAAATTTAGTTCATTTGCGAACGTTGAGAACTTTAGGGGCATCAAAACTTATGAAATCTGAAAATTTAAGCTTTCAAGACAAAGGAGTTTCAATACATAAAATGTTAATAGCAATAGTGCCTTATTTTTAACGGTTATTCTTCTTTTAAATTTACCTCCCATTTCAAGAAATTCTGTTAAATTTTAAAAGTCCTAAAGTTCTGCATTTATTTCTTCCTTTTAAATTCTGAATTCTTCTTCTCAAAACTCTTCAAGTTTTGTTAAAATAGAAAAGAAATTCTAAATAATTGAATAATTAGGTAATAATTAAATAAATAAGGTAAATTTTAAATAATTGAAAAATTTTAATTTTTTAAATTATTTAAAATTATCTCTAAATTTTTAATTTACATTTTTCATTTTTATTGCAATCAGTATTTTTCGAAAATATACCAACAAAAATATTCCTTCATTTGAACGATCTAGAGAAGTGCATAACGTTTATAAACAATTTAGAGTAAAAAATATTTTTCAAAGCAAATTTTTCTAAATTTTTGTAAAAAAAAAAAATTTTTATAGAAAGTTCATTGACTCAAAAAATTTTAGAAAAAATATTTCAAGTAAAAAAATTTATTTTCCTTCTGAAAAATATTTCCCTTTATGGAAGAATCAGACGGACAGTCAAAACAAACGTTAGTCCAATGTCACAGTTTCGTATTTTAACAACAAAAAGAAAAATTATAATTATTATAATTATTAAAAATTACAATTTTAAATTCGTTTTGCCACAAGGATAAAAAAAATTTAATTTTCAACATTTTACACAATTAAAAGTTGCATTTGAACAAAAATCAGATTTTTTTGGCAAAAATTTATTAACTTTTCGGTTGTTACCAAAATCATTTTTTATTTTCAAAAAATTGTAATTTTTATTTGAATACAACTTTAAATTGTTTAAAATACTGAAAATTAAACTACCAATAATTAAGAATTATAATAATACAAAATTAAAATTTTATTTATTAATTTCTTTTAAAATAAGAGAGAAATTTTTAACGAATTTAATTCGTTTATTAAATTATGACATTAGACTAACTTCTGTTCCGATAGTGTGTCAGATTCTTCCTTAATTGTTGATCATAAACGATGTGAACTTCCTCTACGTCAAAACTTGTCGTTGATAAATATGCAAAATTCATAGAAAGCACTTTTTCAAAAAATTATCTTCAAGAAAAAGTTCGATTTAAATTTTAAACAGATTAATAATTTTCAAAAATGTGATTTTAATTTTCCATGAGTCTGAAGTTCGCAGCGTTTAGAAAAAACGAACTTTTTCCAAATCAATTCATTCCCAATTTTGACGAGCACGAAACTTGGAAGAAATCAAACTCTTTCTTAGGAGACAGTTACACTAAAAATAACTTTCGAATTGAAAAAATAGCTTTTTTCGTTTTCGTTTTTCAAACGTTGCGGATTTTCTCGCCTCATTTAATTTCAAGATTAGCAGCATCTAGAAAAATCTCTCTTTAGACACCATTAAAAAATAAATTTATAAAAATTATCACATTACAAAAAGAATAAATCAAGAATCTAAAGTCCGTAAAGGTTTTTAAAGACGAAAAATTATAAAAAGAATTTTTTTTCAAATTAATTACGTCAGTGAAGTTCACAACATTCCTAATCAACGATTAATTTAAAAAAATATTTTTCACACGGAAAGTAATTGAATTTTCTTTTAAAAACAATTATTTTTAAAATAATTGACAAAGAAAAATTGTAAAATATTTTTCAAGGGAAAAATTATGAAAATTTGTCTAGAGAACATTTTTTTTCTCCTAATTTATTGATCATAAATGTTTATTGTCACCAATTTAGAATAAAAAATATTTTTCAAAGCAAATTTTTATTAATTTTCACTTGAAATAAATAAAAAAAAATTCCTTTGGACCAATTAAATCAAAAACGGCCTACAAGTTCTAAAACGTTCAAACGAATGTATTTTTTTTACTAATATAATTTTCTTTTTAAAAGTTACCGACTGTTATAAAAAAAAAAAAAATTAAATACTCAGAATCTTTAAAATTTGAATTTTTTTATAAGTGATCCAATATTATTACAAAAGAAAATTAAATTTGAAATTATCCGAAAGCTCAGCTGATGTTCAAAGGTAGGAAATTTATTTATTACTTCTTCAAATTAATTTTTTATTCCAAATAATTTTATGTCACTAACAAAAAAATCATTTTTAAAATTTCTAAATGTTGAAAATTTTTAATTTTGTAATATTTCCTTGAAATATTTCTTTCATTTGAACGTTCAAAATTCTTTCGAGAAATTCATTCATTAATTCATTCTTTAATTTTCATTTTTAAATTTACCTTTAAAGATTTTTCATTAAAATTTTTGATAATCTTTACAAAAATCCAATTATTTTCAAAAAAATTCCATGAAAGAATTCAATTTTAAACAAAATTTTAATAACATTTTACAAAAAAAATTCAATTATATTCAAAACAATTTATTATTATTATTATTATTATTATTATTATTATTATTATTTATTTATTATTTCAAAACAATTTCAATTCTTTGCAAAAATTCAATTATTTTTAATACAATTTTAATAAAATTTCATGAAAGAATTTAATCTAAAAAAAATTTTTAATAATATTTTTCAAAAAAATTCAATTATTTTCTAAAGTTTTAATAAATCCTTCGAAACAATTCAATTATTTTTTCAAATTGTAAAATCTTTGCAAATATCCCATTATTTTCATAAAGATTTCACGAAAGAATTCAATTTTTTTCTTAATTCGTTATAAAATTTTTAATAAGAATTCAATTATTTTCTAAAATTTTAATAAATTCTTCGAAAAAATTCAATTATTTTAAAAAAATTTTTAATAAAATTTCATGAAAAAATTCAGTTATTTAAAATTTTTAATAATATTTTTCGAAAAAATTCAATTATTTTCTCAAGTTTTAATAAATTCTTGGAAACAATTTAATTATATTATTATAAATAGTAAAATTTAAAAAAAAAATCTCAATTATTTTCAAAAAAATTTCACAAACGAATTCAATTTTTTTCTTAATTCGTTATAAAATTTTTAAAAAGAATTCAATTATTCTGTAAAATTTTAATAAAATTTAATAATTAAATGTTTAATTTCAATTATTAACAAACACGACTAGTTTAAAAACTTGAAAGAAATTGTTCATAAAATTGTATTATTTTAAAAGTTTTCATTTTAAATTATTAAAGAAACTTGAATTTAAAATTTTTCTATTTTTTTATTATCAAATTTTTTGATAAAATTCTTTGTAACAATCAAAAGTTGCAATGTTTGGAAAAAAAGTCGAAAAAGTCGCAATTTTCGAAAATAAGTCGAAAACGTCTCAATTTTCTTAATTTCCCTGGCAAAAAATTTTTTTCCTGACACTCTCCTGCTTTACTGACAAAAATTTTGTTTCCCTGACTTTACTGACTTGTGGTCACCCTGAAAAAGAGTGGAAAAACTTTTTCATAATTCGTTGATCATAAACGCTGTGAATTTCACTGAAGTAAATTCGAAAGAAAAAGAATATCGGTTCGTTTTGAAATAAACGCTGCGGACTTCAGCCTCTTGAAAAAAATCAATAGAGCATCAGTATTTGCAATAAATTGGCAATAGATGAGATAAAATAAAAATCAGGACTCACCAAGTTGGACGTACATCTTGGGCCTGACGTTTTCTTGCCAGGCAGCGAATACGACGCTGAATAGAGCGACGACGCTCCAACTGGATGCAAATAATAGCTGGATATGTAGTGCCAAATTCCTCATTACGGTGAATCACGTGTCTCCAACACCGTGTAAAAGAAGAATAAGAAGAAGAAAAAAAGGAAATGCCTGATTAATAATAATCGAAACACAATCACTCTTCACCACCACCCCTCCTCTTTCTCTCTCTTTCTTTCTTTCTTTCTCTCAACACACACAAAAAACACTCTCAACCCGAACACCGCGGATTATATCCGACAGCACAAGGGATGATAAACACTAAATTTCACTTTTCTTGCATCTGACGATTCCTCTTGTGTCCTTAAATGTTGCTGATAAGACGATCATCGTCCAGCACATGTTCATTGTGACCGGTCGTCTTTTAGCGATCGATCGTTCAACATTTCTTAACGTATCCAGGTTGACAGGCACCACGCGAGATCTCACGAACTCGCTTAATGTGTGCCAGCAGCAGCTCTCCACCGTCGTTCTTAACTTTAGGATGGTGATGGTCACACTGACGCTGTGATAGCCGATGTACCTTCGTTGAGCGCATGCGATAACGCGCACGCCACTCTCTCTCACTGCGCCTACGGATCAACCGGAATCTTGAATATACGCACTGAGCACATAAAGTGATAACGAGAGAGAGAGAGAGAGAGAGATGAAGAAGAAAGAAGGAAGGAAGGAGAAGGAAAAAGAGAAAGAGAGAGAGAGTGAGTGAGATGAGGGATGAAAAACTAAATGAGAGACTGATGAGGAAGAAAAGGATGATGAGGGAAGAGGGTGAAAACAGGGATGACGGTATCAACACCGACTTGCGCTCTGGCAAATTTCAACCACGGCGTATCATGTACAGTACATTGTCCTCTTCGTGACACGCTCGCTGCTGCAACACCATCAATCTGGAAAACGAAAAATAGTTATCAATAATGTTGTGTGCGCATTCTTTCAATATCTGTACGATACTTTTTTAATCTAAAAACTATCACGAAATTTGGCGATAAAAATATACAAAATAGTTGAATATAGTGAAACACGGACACACAAATATAATAATAAAAAAAAAAGGAAAATTTTACCCTCCGACTCTTGTGTATTGATTCCAAATATATATTCATTTCGTTTCCTACAATATCAATTTCTCTATTACTCTCCTCCTAACCTATACACAATTTCAAACGCAGAGTTGCGAGAAAAATTTGATACTTTTTCCTCTCTCAGGGTTGCAACAAAAATTTTACTTTTATTTTCTTGATTTCGAGAAGAAATTTTTACTTTTACTCCTAACCCTCAAGAATATTCTGATTTCAAATTTAAACCTTTTTTTAAATTAAACAACTTAGAAAAGTATTTTTGTTATAAAACGTGAAGATATCGATTACTCCGAGTCGAAGACTCAGAGTGATCGATTTCTTCATGTTTTCTAATAATTAAAGATGACCGAGAGATAATATTATTATTTTATATTATAAGAATATTGTTACTGTAACTTCTTCAAAATTATTTTCATCATTTCAATTCAATTATTATTTTCTAGAATTTGTAACTAAAATTCTTCTTCAAATCAATTATTTTCAATAATTTTTGAAAAATTAATTTGCAAAATTTCAAATCCATTTGATTACAATTCAATTTTAGGAAGTTTCGACAATTTGGAAATTCTACAAGTAAATATTTATTAGAAAATAAAAACTACAAGTAATTTAAAAAAATATTCAGTTATTAAATTTTTTCAAAAAAAATTAATTCTACAGAATTGTTAGTTAAAAGTATGGAAAATTCAGATTTTCAAAGATTTTAATTTGAAACCTTATCAAAATTCAATTATTTCTAAAAATTCACTCTACAATGCGTTTCATATTTTTAAAACATTAATATAATACTTTGAAGCAATTCAATTATTTTCGAACATTTTAATAAAATTCATCGAAAGAAATTCAATTATTTTCTTAAATATATAATTCATCGCGGGGAATTCAATTATTTTCAATACAACTAAAATTAAATTCCTTGAAACAATTCAATTATTTTTTACTTTCATAAATAATACAATTCTTCGCAAGAATTCAATTATATTAATAATTATAATAAAAGTCTTTGTTAAAATTCTACAATTTTAATTAAATTCTTGGAAAGAATTCAATTTTCTTCAAAAATAAAATTCTTATAAAGTATCCAATTATCATCAAAAATTATAATTAAATTCTTTAGAAGAATTAAATTATATTCAATACAATTTAATAAAATTAAAATTGATTTAAAAATTTTTAAATCAATTTTTATTAAAAAATTCTGCTAAAATCCAATTATTTAAATAATAAAAATAATTTATTGAATAATTGAATGTTTCTTAAAATTGAATTTTCATAAAGAATTTTAACCACAAATTTTTAAATAATTAAATTTTTTCGACGAATTTTAATAAATTTTTTAAGAATATTTTCATTTTTCGAGGAATTTGATTAAAATTGTAAATTAAAAATAATTGAAATTCTACGATGAGTTTTATTATTTATAAAAATATAATTGAATCTCTCTAAAAATTTAATTGTTTATGAAAATAAGGGAATTATTGCGATGAAATTTATTTAAATAATTGAATTCCTGTGAAACTTAATATATTATTTTTAAAAATAATTTAATTCTTGTGCACAATTTTCTTAATTTCTTGATATTAATTGAATTGTATTGCAGAATTTTATTAAAAATATTAAAATTTTTTAAAATAATTAAATTTCTGACTATTATTTTATTATTTATGTAAATAATTGAATTATTACAAAGAAATTTATAAAAGATTTGCAAATAATTGAATTTCTTTGAAATTTAATTTATATTTTATTTATAAAAATAATGAAATGTTTGCGTAGAATTATATTAATTTTTTTTTTAAATAATTGAATTCTTTTGGAAAATTTTAATAAAATAGTAGATATTTAAAATCATTGAATTGAGGAGAATTTTTTTGAAAATAATTAAAATTTTGCTAAGAATTTTTTTCAAATTTTTAAAAATAATTGAATTTTTGAGAAGAATTTTATTATTTATAAAGATAATTGAATTTCTGCGAAGAATTTTATTACTTTTGAAAATAATTGAATTACCGCAATCATTTGTAACTTCTCCAAAATTCAATTTTTCTAAAAATATAATTAATTTTGAAATATTTAAGTAAAATTATTCATTAAATAATTTATAACTAATAATTTTATGATAGTTCTTCAAGAATTAAATTATTTAAAAGGAAATTATTGTCAGAAATAGAAAAATTCAAAGATAATTGAATCTTAAAAAATTATGCTAAAACAATTATAAAAATTAACTTTTTAAAAATAATATAATGTAATGTTTCAACAATAATTGAATTTCTTAACAGAATTTTTGTATATATTATAATTTAAATAGAAACTAATTCATTTCTTGGAGAATTTTAATTAAAAACCATTTATAATTATGGATCTAAAGTTTTTTAATCGTCTAGTGAATGAATAATTTTATTTTTAATTTAATTTAAATTATTTAAAATTTCAAAATCAAATTTATCCAAAATGTTAAAAAAAAATTGTAAAAAAATTTTAATATTATTTTTTTACGTATTTGAATTTTCGGAAATATGTCATCATTAAAAATATTGAAAATTCTGAATTTAAAACAATTAGAATGAAAAATTTTAAGAATTGCCTACTTTTTTAAAAAATATTTTAAATTAATTTTTAGAAGCTAATTTTCATTAATTTTCATTTTTAAATTTATACTTGAAGATCTGTCATGAAAATTTTTAAAAATACAATTAGTTTCCCAAAATTTGCAATTAAAGTTCTTCAAAAGTTGATTTTTAAAAATTGTAATAATAATATTGGAAAAAAATGAATTATTTTCAATTAAATTCAAAAATACTTTTATCTAAAAATCTGTCTATAGTTATTTTCGTTATTTTCCACACCATATAAAAATCGAAATAAATTTCATTCATTCGACGATTACAGAACTTTAGAGCCATAATAATTAATATAGCCATTTTCCAATTCTCTTTCTTTATAATTAATGCAAAATCTTATTTACTACTATCAAGAAAGAGAGAGAGACCAACGTACAACAATCGTTCTTTAAACTTGAAGTGAAAATAAGGCAAATAAACTCTGCTTTTGAAATATAAATTAAATTATAATATTAATACACAACTCTTGGTATAAATTCTCACTGCGCTAAAGATGAGAAACAAACATTGCGCTTGAATTATGAGGATAAGTCTATTTCGAAAGCAAAAAGGATTCTTCATTTTATATATGTGTAGTGAAAATATCTTTAACTGATCTAGAGAATTGTTGTCTCGAAAGCTCTATAGTAGATTTAAAGCTGTTGGTACAGCTTAGATATTGGCTTCCTTGGCATCTCTATATACAGTAAAACCTACTAGTACTACTAATATAATTCTCTATACACTCTATATAGATTTAAACTCACGACATCTATTTACAAGCCAACTTGGAGTATTGATATTTTCTATATATATGTGTATACATACGTGTCTGAGCTTTTTCATTATTTCATTCCTTTTATACATGGAAAATCAATTTTTCCTAAAGAAATGCAAATCGAATCAGGTCTATTATGTAAATTGTCACTGATTACAGTAGAGAAAAAATTATATTCCAAAAATTTTCAACTTTTTAATGAACGAAATATATGTTTTTTACTAAATAAATATTTTCAGACGAAATATTTTTTAAATAAATAAATACTAGCAAAAATTATATTCTTACTACATTTTTAAAATAAAATTAGCAATTTTAAAAATAATAGAATTTAAAATTTTTCCAATTTAAATTTTTGTTGATAACACTAAAAAAATTCAATTATTATTAAAAAAAAAAATTCAACTATGTTCAAAATTTGAAAAAAATTCTCGTAAAAATCCCAATTCTCTTTATAAATAACAAAATTCTTCTCCAAAGTTCAATTATTTTCATAAATGTAAAAAAAATTATTGTCCAAATTTCAATTATTTTCAAAAAATTTTCTAATATCAATGATTTTCAATATCTACTAATTTAATAAAATTTCCCAAAAAGAATTCAATTATTTAAACAAAATTTTAATATAATTGTATGCAAACATTTATATTATTTTCATAAATAATAAAAATTTCACAGGAATTCAATTATTTTCATAAATAATAAATTTTTTTTAAGGAATTCAATTATTATTTTCATAAAAAATAATTTAAAATTCTAGAAAATAATAATTGAATTAAAATGATGAAAATAATTTTTCCTGTAGAAAATTCTGTTCCAAAAATAACATTAAAAATAGAAATTGGGCAAATATTTTTCTTCTTTTTCTAAAACAAAATAATAATTTTGTTAAAAAAAAATTGTGATTCATAAACAAAAATAATGCAAAATAAATAAATTTTCTATTTCTCAATCACAATTGTTTAACAATTTTCTACTTTTATTTAGAAGTAAAGAACAAAAATAATTTCAATTTGACAAAACATAATATTTAACAAAATTTTAGTCTTTTAATGAAAAGAAGTGAAAAAAATTCCGATGATTTCTATTTGTCATTACAATTTTCAATTAATTATAAAATAAAAATAATTATAACATAATAATATAATATACAATCAAATGAACGAAATATTTTTTTGCTCAATAAATATTTCATGACATGAACAAAATATGTTTTTAATAAATAAATATTTTATCTCAAGAAAGTTCAAGTGAACGAAATATTTTTTTATTAAATCAGGGTGGTCACAAGTTTCAGTTTATCAATTTCCCTGACATTTCCCTGACAATTTACTGACATTAAAATTATTTTCCTCGACAAAATTCTTTTCACAGGAAAATATGAAAATTTACGGAAAATGAGTAAAATTTATGAAATTTAATAATTT